AATTATGGGAGAAAGGAAAAATGGATACCAGGTCAAATTGTTCAATGTACAGGACCTGTGTCTTATAAAGTTAAAAATAACTTGTGCAGATAATAAGTGTGAATCTATCAATCCCACCAAATCTGAACAGTTCACACCAACTCAGTTTGTTCCACAACCAAGTTCTGTTGATATGAGTGAACCAAGTTGTCTGGAGTCAGAAAATGTAAATTCTGGAGTTAATGATTTAAATCCTAGACCTCCTGAGATAGAGAATCCAAATGGTCAGAATCTTGAGTCACCAAATCAGAAGCCACTGAGAAGGTCAAGCAGGACAATCAAAGTCCCAAATAAGTTAGACCTATGATTCTAAAGGTCAAAAGGACTTTGACATTATTGTTTTGTATTTTGATTATGTTGTGGCATATTGTGCATTGTTTGTAAGGATGTAATCTACCATAGTGTTCATGTTACAATATAATTGGTGATTTTAGGATACTATCAATTGTTCTATTGAGAGATGTGTTATTGTGTTCTAAGGGTAAAGGGATGTAATAGATTGAGTTAATTGTGAGGTCAAGGGAACTCACTCTCTGTATTAGTATTATATTTATATTGTTATCTTGAGTGATGTCCCTTACATGTTGTTATCTATAAATAGTTCTCTCTCGCCACTTCCTTCCTCTCTCTTTGCATCATGGCTGTCTGTAAATAAAAGGCTGTTAACACAAATGTGGCTCCTCGTCAATCTATCACAAATAGTATCACTGACTTTTAAAAAGTACCAAATGGTATTTTTAAAAATATGTTTAGCAAAGCTATTAGTATAACCTTGCTGGTCGCAAAACTTTTAGTTTTTCAGACATAGTTGTCGAGTCAAATATGACCTTCCCTCGTTCAAATCTTGTCAAATTATATATTTTTGGTTCAAGTGTATCTTTCCCAGTACATAGACAGAAAAACCATGATATAACCAGGATATATCACAAAAGCCACGAAGAACTTAAGTCGCGAAGTGTGAGGCCCTACTAATGGATATCGATATAGGTTCAGCTAATTCAATGCTGACTGTCTTTATTTCATAAACTGAATGACTTGACCTTCTTTCTGCTTCTTCGTTCTTGATTATATTTATGTCGTAGGATTTAGACAACTATTCCCACTTTGTGAATGAACTGGACTGTGGTCTACAGATATGCGGGCACCCCATACAGTTTATCTCTAAGTTGGGTGCTGTGCCTTATTGTACAAACAGCAGTCCTGTAGGACGTGCTCTACGTTCACCGAAGGCCAGTGTTTCTTCCAGGCATCTCTTCGCTCCCCCCCCCCCCCCAAAAAAAAAAACGTCTACCTCCCCGACCCCCCTCGAGAACGAAATAGAATTTATAAATATATACTTTTACCAGTGCCCCCCCCCCCCCGGAAATTATAGTTCCACCCCCCCCCCCCCACCGAACGAAATAGAATTTATATAGAAAATAATTTTACCAGTGTCCTCCGCCCCCCCCCCCCCCCCCGAAAATTCCAAGTGCTCCCCCGGAGAAAAAAGTCTGGAAGAAACATTGATCGGGGCCATGCCGCGCAAGGGCAAATTATTATCTGGGCCAACTTTTAGTTTTTAAACGTGCTGTTTCAGTCTATTATGGCATGCTCTGAGCATGAATATTATGTTTTATCTTTGGCGTATTAATTTGTAAAATCCGTTGTCTTTTGTGTAATTGGGCGTGTTTCAGACCAAATCTGGGATTGTTTGCTTTTTATTATTATTTTGATTTACTGTTTTTTTTTCTTTACCCCATTTTTTCCAAGCTAGTCCGAGGTCTCATTTCCTTGTTTAGGGTGTGTACCAGGATCCACTGCAGCACTGTCATGCTGCTGATATTGCTTAGCTTTTCTAGGGCTGTCCTGAGTGATTGATTGTAGGAGATTTCTGGTCATTATGGCGCCGACGTTCGTTTTAAAGAGCATTCTATAATAGGATCACGGTAGCACACAACATTCGATGATTAAACCGAACCTGTGGACGTAACCGGCGTCCCTGTGGTAGTGTAACTGGTGGCTCCATAGATTGTCCCTGACACCTGGGCGGTCGCCAATGTATGTTTTACTTCTTATTACAAAAAGCCCTATGGTGTTTGGGCGGTAGTATGTACAAATCCGCTCCCCGACAATCATGATTCAATAAATATATACATTTAAATAACTCACTTTTAGAAAACAAGGTCAAGCGTCTAAAAAATATACGACTGCTAACGCATTGATCAAATCAAAGTATTGCGTCAGCCCGTTTTATGAAACTTGTTGGCTTTACGTCCAGTCGGCTTTTTAATGTCGGCTTTATTTCTTGTCACACTTTTGTCCGGATCGCTAGTAAAACTGCAACGGTGTCCGCGAGTCTTAAAAACCTAACGATTTTTGCTTGATGAAGACATTCGCAGTTCGCAGTCTCTGTAATCAAGCGCTCAGTCCCCAGTCTCAGTCACTATATTGTCACCAAACACGACAAAAGCCTCATTCTATATCAATCTTTGATGAGAGTCTCAAAACGTTTGTTGTTGAGAACAGGGGCGTAGCGAGGGGGGGGGGGGGCGGGGGGTGCGGACCGCACCGGGTGACACCATTTATGGGGGTGACACCAAGGCAAAAAATAGCAAAATACATAGAGAAAAACTCGAGGGGGGGGGGGTGCAAATCGAAAATTTGAAAGTTTGTCCCTGGGAAGGGTCTCTATGCCTCTGGGGTGGGGGGGGGGGGGTGACACCATTAAGTGCCGCACCGGGTGACACCCGACCTCGCTACGCCACTGGTTGAGAATAGTGTTGGATAGGCTATGTGTGTGAGTGTGTTGTGTGTGAACGTAATTAAGTTAAGGATATCCACTTTAGCCGTCCCACACTAAATCAGATAGGCTACTTGACTGATAGTTAAAAAAAACAAATAACAACAACTAAAAGCGACAAAACATTTAAATAATAATATTCTTATACAAAATTTAAAAATGAAGCATTGTGCATAGTGTTTTTTTTAAATTTAAAATTGCATTCTTTCTTTGTCGTACCACAAAAAAAAAAAACAACAACACACACACACCCTCCAATTTGACTGACATTGCATAAGTGCCATAAGCCCCCTCATAATCATTGCTTCGACGACATTTTAATTTACTAATTGATGTGTGTGTATTAAACTTCAGCGTCTTTTTAATTACAAAGAAAAATACCCCAACTACTTCTCTGTAATATTATACCAGTCAGCGACTTGCGCATAGCCAAATAAAATTTTTATTTAAAAGTAAGAAGTACTGTATAATTCATCATTTATTAAGCGGACAGATGCCGTTGGGGGGGGGGGGGGGGCAAAACCCGACCCAAAAACCAAAATAATTTTTTTTTTTTTTGTACCTTGATAAAATAGTGGTTTTGTAAAAAAAAAAAAAAAAAAATCTACGACAGCAGTGACTGTTCTATAGTAACCACTACATGAGCTGCTGCGAGAAAGATTGGCAAATCTTCAAACCACTTTCAAGACGTATTGCTCCTCATTGAAAAGTCTAATAGGGGTGCCCAAAAAGCTCATTTAAATAGTTTTTTTTACTAAGCAAATTAAAAAGCCATTGCTTTTCTTAATTATAATTAAAATAAGTCATACCATAGAATGACACAGCTATATAAAAGGGGCGTATTCAGAATTATAAATTTATAAAGGGATAAAAAAAAAACAAAAAAAAAACATCATAAGAATAAAACAACCTCGGAAAACAATCACTCATAACAAACCTCCGTGTTTAAATACTTTTGATAGGCTCGCCAGATATAACGTTATCCTTTTCACAATTTTTGGCGGAGCATAAATGAGATAGAGACGTTTTTTAAAGACTATTATATCAGTCCCGACTAAGGGAGCTTTCTGTGGAAGCCCCATGTGTCTCGGGCGCAAAAAGGAAAAGATGATGATAAAAGGCTTGAAAAAAATAATTTTGTGTGTGATTTGTTGTCTCAAGATGGATACACTTTGCAATGAAATAGGTTAAATGGTTTGATTAAAAATTTAGGGAGACAATCTACTTATAAAGACGTGTGTGTGTGTGTGTGTGTGTGTGTATAGGGGGTGAGATTTTTTATAGGGGTGGGGGGCTTTTTTCGGTATATTTCAAAAAAGATTTTTTCAGTTTTTATGGATATACTCGAGATTCTGGCAGTAAAAACAAGAAGACTTTTCTTAAAAAATAACTGTTTTACACAATACATCTTCTAATAAACCGGGAGTGATCTCCCCTAAACTTTCTCGAATATTTTTATATAAAATAACAGGGGATGGGAACTCGTGCTATAGACATGATTTTTAATCCATTTTAAATACTTAAAGTTTTAAAAATAGAATAAAATCTCGTAGACAAAAGGATTGCACACCGAGTGAACGCTAAATAAAAAAGTGCATAATAGTGCGTAATATTATTAGTACTTTAAAAATTTACATTAGTTTTTTGAGAAATCGGAAGTAGCGTAAATTACTACTTCCGGTCAACGGAAATTACTCAAAATTTTACAGAAGGTAGAAAATTAGATCTTTTACTTACATGTAAAATTTCATTTATCTATCTGAAATAGTACTCAAGTTATAGGCTTTTGAAAAATTCAAAGTAGGAAAAGTACCACTTCCGGTTATCGGAAATCGCTCAAAAGTTGATACGGATCTACGATTTTGATAAAATACTTATATATGAAATTTCATCAACCTAGCTGTAACGGTACTCAAGTTATCGTGTTTACACACGGACAGACAGACAGACAGACACACAGACAGACACACAGACATACGGACAAGATTGCAAAATTATGTTTTTCCGTATCAGTGAGGTGTAAAACGTCGAGATTTGTAAAAATCTCGATTTTTTTTTTGCACGATTACAAGACTTTCTCTATACTTCGTATATACGAGAAAGTAAAAATAGTAAGACGTAATGTGATGTATTTTAAATTGTGCGAAAACGAAATAAGCAGTCTATAGTTAGTTAAAAAGCAGGATCTGTAAATACAACAACACGAGGAGAATGATGAACATGGACGAAAATGAATCAGATTCGGACATCGAGGAGGTAATTATTGTAAAATAAACATTAATTGAGATTTAAAAGCTTTTAACAGTAATGCAAATTGTAAAATAAGTCTAGCTGAACAATTGTTTTCTCTTAGGTCACAAAATCATATGTCCGTCTGGCCGTGCTGGTCGGCAGATTTAGTAATTTAGTAATTTTAATTTAGTTTTTATTGTTTTTGCACTTTTAGTCTGTTTTGTAACTGGAAGATTGTTTTGTTACTGACTGAACTAGACTCTAATTCAAATTTAACTAACTTTTAAAAATATCTAGATAGGTGTGTTTGTTATACCAGTGTCTGATAAATGCCCCAAATGGTAGGCATTTCGACTTCCGCTGTTTCGATTCGGTACGACCGCATCCTGACTTTTTCATCGTACTTGTTGAAATTCGCCATTTTTTAACATGTTAATTCTCGCCATCGGAATCGAAGAATAAAATGTATTCGATGTGAATATTTGAGTTGAATTTCATCTTTTATACATACTAATAAATGAATTAGCTCCCGTTTTACATTGTCCGATACCGAAAGCGATCACCGATAATAGCAAATATTTGTCGAAATGCCGACGCTACCGAACTGGCGCATTGACAACTAAATTTCAGATATAAATAATCCTTTAAGTTGCATGAAAATAGGCTTAAATAGCATGCCAACCATTTGGATAAATAGAAATGTCGATTTGAAGGGTTTTTAAGCACGGGCCAATGAGGAGTAGCGCGATAAAACTCGTAGGGGTAGGAACGAGAAAGCATGCGTAATTTCATAATGGCGGCCGGGCTACGAGATATTAATAGATATGCGCATACGATGTTTTTTAATAGCTGTTTGTTTTTAAATGGACTGTTACAATAAAATGGGCTTTAAAATAAATATAATGTAGATCTAAATTATTAGATTAAAAATGGAAAGAATGTAATTAGGCCTAATTGCTGCCTAAATAAATTATAAAATTTTAAATTAGCCAGATTTTTATTAACCTTCTTAATACCAGGTTAACTAGATCTAGCAAACTAGCATTAACGAATTGCAGATAAATAGATTATAAAGGCATTTTTAAGTAGAAAAAAATGTATATTTATTGTAAACAGTTTTAAAAAAATAGAATCTAGATCTAGATCTAAATGGAAATGAAAACACTAAAACAATAATGGGTCTAGAGATGTGTAATAATATAGGCCTATATATATATATATAAACTATTAGGCCTTAATGTAAATACTGACAGGCCTATTTGTAGTATCTAGATCTATAAAGTACTATAAAGGGCCTAAATTAAAAATAATAATGCCCAATTTTATAAGCTGCACGGCATTACAGTTTTAGTTAAAGGCAACTATAATAGAAAGAAAACATGAACACTTTAATTAATGTCATTTAAGAATTTATCAAAGGATACGTCAACTTCACTAAACATTTTATAAATAAGAATACTGTGAAATGTCAATCTTTGAGTTTTAGCACACCTCAACACTTTTCATCAGAAACATTACAAGAACCAAAATTTTCTAAATTAATAATAACATTTTTACCATGTTATACACGGACACAAATCCAATGTTTATGGCAAATCGTTAAGTATCTTGATCATATTGTGCTGTATTTGACTTGTAAGTTCTAACTCTATACATTACCTGTACAATATGTATACTAGCATTCTTATTACTAACACCAGAATCAATATGTAAAGTTTAATCTTTATTTTTATAGTAGCAACAAAGAAGTGTAACATATTAGCCTGTAGTTAATCATCATAGTCTAATTGCGCTGTACCATATTCAAGTTCACTATTTATAGTTTTCCTCTAGCTATGTTTATTTTACTTGCATGATTGTATTTTTTACATGCTCTAGTCCTAATATATAAAGTTTCATGATGGTATATGGAATAGCAACCTAGCTGTGCAGTCTGGAAATCCTCTTATGGCAGTCACTATAGAACAGTGCCACACCCCTTAATTTAACTTCATTATTTCTAGTTACCTCTTTTCTAATTTTTATTTTATTTGTAGACTTCTATTGCCTATATCATTGAGTACAAATGTGCAAAGTTTTATCATTATATCTTTAATAGCAACATTGGTATGCAAGTTTAAAGCCAATCACACGTCTGGAATGCAGGTTACAATGAAACATAACAAGTTAAACACATAACTTTGAAAATTCATACAAAAAAAACTATTAGGCCTAGAATGATAAATTTGATATTTTTATCAATGGGGTATATTATAGGATTAATCTGGGTCCATTTTATCATTCTATGATAATTAGGAAAAATTTCCCAATAGGCCTACCCAAATGGCATAAAAAATTCGAATTGACTACTTGGAAGAAGATTTTTCTCCCCGTCTCCACTTACTTGACTTAGTCGGCAAAAGATAGCTCTGCCCTTGCGCAGTGACCTATGGCTAGGGTTAGGGCTAGAATTAGGGTTAGGATTAGGGATAAGGTTAGGGATAGGATTAGTTACTAGTTACTAGTAGTTAGGGATAGGATTAGGGTTCGGGATAGGATTAGGGTTGGACCAACCCTAGGGTTAGCGGTTAGGGTTAGGTAGGCAACAACTTCCATGTTAGGATTCTGCGGTTGTAAACACACGCATGCGCAGTACCATCGAAAACATCGCCGCAATGGCAAGTCAAACTCTCCATAAAACATCGCCGCAATGGCAAGTCAAAGTTTCTCTCCATTGCGCATGCGTATCTTTTTCCGGCTAGCATCAGCCTAAAAAATTTAGCTACTAGACTAGATTCTAGATCTAGATCTCTTGTACACTGTACTGTACTGTTAAAAAAAAACTAGATGAAGAATAAAATATAAAAAAGGAAATATTCACAGTTCACATGCTGGTTAAGTCTGGTAAAGTTATTACCAGTTATTAGCCTAAACTCAAGCCCTGCCTTAAAGTATAAGTTTAAGTTAGGCCTGTTATTAGATTTCTAGATTCTAGGCAGGTTTTATTATTTATAACTTAAGTTAATTAGAATCCATGCCTAGATAACATCATAATATGTGAGCTGACCGCTAGTGGCCTGGTCCTACCAAACGCCCAGCCCTAACTAATTCCATAAAACTAAAATACCTAGTACTTACTATACTAACAATCTTACAGGCTTATTTTTGGAACAGTCTACTGTCAGTCATTGTTATTATCTTAAACCCAATGATGCAAAGTACCCTTATTTTTTTCTGATGAATGCAAAAATATACACTTTTAATTAGCTCAAATCTGCAGCAGTGGCATTGCCATTTTGACAATACAATGATTTCCATCAATACATTTGACAATGATTTCCTGAAAAAACTTTTAACCTCTGTATATTTAGATACAGGAAGCTCTTGCGGCAGGTAAAATTCAACCAGGACTTATTGTGCAAGAGCAAAAGAAACATTTCATCAATAACAAGGTGACTATATTTTTTGTTTGTTAAGTTTTACATTTTTATTTTAATACTTTAAATTGAGAGATTTTTGAAATAATAAAATAATGCATTTTTATTTTAGGAGGGGCTAAAGGACAAAATTAAAGAATTTTCATTGGACAGTTTGAAATGGATTGAAAGATTGGTCCTGTCTAGCAAACAAAATGATGCCTCAGTTGACAATGGGGAAACAGATGGTGATCAGCTGCAAAATGATGATTTTAATAGGGAACTTAAATTGTAAGTTTTTCATTAACCCCTTTACCGTGTGTCACGAGTTAACTCGTCATATAAAATCTTGGGCTTAACCGTACATCACGAGTTAACTCGTCTTCAGATAAAAAAGTCGTCTGTGTGCTGTGCGTCGCGAGTTAACTCGTTTTGATACGAAAATAGCATTGGAAATCAATAACAATGTAGAGGGAGGCTAATCTATCAGCCAATTCAACAGCGTATGATAAAAATAGGTCATCACGTGATGTTGGTACTGTGCTTTTGAATTACCTTCTTTATATTTACCTCATAAATTCTAAATGTCAACTCATTTTCACTCAAAATGATGTTTTATTTTGTCAGGACAACATAACAAATCAAATAATGAAAAAAAAAATACACAGTTTCCAAAAAAAATTTTTTTTTTATTTCCACGGTAAAGGGGTTAAGTTAGCTCAACCTTAGGCCATTGTCTTTAAGAAAATCTTTCTAGTAGAACTAGTGTTTTACTTGTTAAAAATTGTGTGGCAAGATAAAAGTATATGTGTACATTTTAAATTTAAAAATCATCAACAGCTACAGACAAGCACAAGCAACTGTTTTAGAGGGTCTTGCACGACTTGCCAAATTATCTGTTCCAACCAAAAGGCCAGAAGACTATTTTGCTGAGATGGCAAAATCTGATGAACACATGAAAAAAGTAATTCTTTATTTTCTTAAATATATGCTTGAAAAATATTGTTTGCAAGTGAATTAACCATTAATGTCCCATTCATTCTACCAAAACTCCACCCATGACGGCCCGATGTAAGGAGCATAACTCTGTATGATCAAGTGAATAGTTTCACAAAATATTTGTTTTTGTCTAAATGAAATTAAAAATTAAGATAAAAACTACTGCTTAATGTTGGGAATAAACCTGGCTTTCCAACAGTATTAAATAGAATATATTATATTCGGTAAAAGTACAGTATAAAAATAAAAAATGTCGGAGAAAATTCAAAACAGGTCATTTTCGGTAGTCAACTTTATTTATTTTTGTCTAAACAACTATGCATCGAATTTAACAGTTAAATATCAATTTGGTTATGTTTAAGATATATAATTCATAAAATACATGCCTAGATACGTTTAGAGGCATTACTTTATTTTATTTTTAATATTAAATCTACTAAAAATAGGACAGATGAGTCTAAAATTTCGAGATAGAAAGAAACTATTATTTTTTATCTTTCAAAAGCGCCATTGAAATTAGAAGACCGGAAAAGGATGCTGAAACAATCCGACTTCCTGTTTAGTTAAAAATTAGGATTTGTAGGCCAAATTTTAATGAAACAAATTTAATTTTTCTATGCGTATTGTTAGCGGGCGGCAGCGGGCGTTACGGGACATTAACGGTGTCGGGCGGCAGCGGGCGTTACGGGACATTAATGGTTAATGTCTGAGAATTACTTTTAATAATTTAGATTAGATTTTTTGCTTTTATGTGATTACAACTACTTATTTAAATAACCATTTAATATGAAATAACTTATTATTTAATAGGTTCGTTCCAAGTTGTTAGAAAAGAAAATCTCTATGGAAAAATCTGAAAAGGCAAAGAAGTTGAGAGAAATGAAAAAATATGGTAAAAAGGTAAGTTCATCACAGGTGATTCATTTTGAAACCCTAACTCATTCTCCGGTGCAAATACCCTATGTTACTCAACCCTTTGCAGATACCACAATGATGGGCAGCTTTTGTATACCACATTTTATGCACTACTTGAATATGTGAATATACTTTTAAAAAAATTAAGACTTCCTAATATAAACTAGGTATTGTGTAGTTAGGTGGTAGACTTCTAAGCAGGTCTAAGTTAGGATCCCGGACTCAAGTATGTAGGATGTCCCTAAGCTCATCCAGCTCTGATGGGTACCTGATTCATGTTAAGAAACAACGGTGGCTGGACATAGTGCTCTTATTACTATTTCCCTGTATGCAGAGATAATTCAAACAGATGAACTCTACCTGCCCCATAAATTTTTATTAGTACAAGCATTACTTGTCAATTGATGTCCTTGTCTCAAATGATTAAATGAGAAAAGTTTTGTCCCAAGTTTCAGAAGAGAAGGTTGTTATAAAATAATATTCAATGTATTTTTTTTTTAGATAATTCTATCTACAGTAACAGTATGATTTTAAGTAAAAAAATTTCCCCACCCTATTATCAATTATAGGTGCAAGTGGAAGTATTACAGAAAAGACAAAAAGAAAAGAGAGAAATGCTTGAATCTGTTAAGAAATTTAGGAAAGGTGAGCATTATTTCCTGTTGCAGTTTTTACATTTTAAGCACATTTATTGATACAAATGCTTTAAGTGCTTTTTAAAGAGCTGAATTAAAAGTATTGACAAGAAGCTATTTTGATTGGTGTAGTTCTTGAATCAAGGCCAATTGTGTAATTTAATCAAAACTATTTTGTAGGACAAGTTGATAAGCTTGATATTTTTGATGAAACAATTGAGAGGCAACCTAAGCAACAAAACCAAGGAAAACAAATTCAAGGGAAGCAACAGTTCAAGTAAGAATCTTTTAGTTAATTTGAAATGATTTATTTTTCTCTTTGCCATTACCTTGTTTTGGAGGCTACAGGACATTACCCCCCTGGAAATTTCCCCCCCCGTATTTACCCCCCCCCCCCCCCCCCCCGGAGCAATTACCCCCCTGGGAATTACCCCCCCCCCCCCCCCCCCCCCAGTTAGAATCCTAACTCTAACTAGAATTCTATACCTATACACTACTTTAATCCAAACCTTAAGAAAAAGACCAAAACCTAAGCATCCACCTTAGCCTAAAACTTCACACAAAACCAAAACCAACGCTAGACACAACCCTAACCCTAAACCTAGCCCTAACTCTAGCCCTAATCCTAGCCCTAACTAGCCCTAAACCTAACCCTAGCCCTAAACCTAAATCTAGCCCTAGCCTTAGCCCTAACCCTAGCCATAGCCCTAATACTAGCCCTAACCCTAACCCTAGTCCTAAACCTAACCCTAACCGTAAACCTAGCCCTAACCCTAACCCTGTCCTGGGGGGGGGGGGGGGGGGGGGGGGTAATGTCCTACTTGGCGGGGGGGGGGGGGGGGTAATTGACAGGGGGGGTAATTGACAGGGGGGAAATGCCCTGTTCCCTATTTTGGATCTGTTAAAATAAAATAATCTTTTGCTAGTCACCAAAGATATTCATATTGTTTGTAGTTCATAACATCACAAAGCCAACAAATTGTTACAGTAATGTAAAGCTAGCATTTAAAACATTTAGAAAATACATTTCCCTTCTTTTTTATAGGCCTAACAAAAAGCGAGAGTATAAAAACAAAAAGTTTGGCTTTGGTGGGCAAAAAAAGAGGTCAAAGTACAATACAGCAGAGAGTTCAGCTGATCTTAGAGACTTTTCAAGAGGTCCAGGAAAAAGAAACTTTAAGGTATGATTAACTGGTTTTCACTATGTATAAAAATGAATTATCTTAATATTTAAACGTGCCACGTGCTACTAGCTTCTGTAAAATTGATTTCAAACTGAATTTTTTTCACAGAGCAAGCCACAAGGAAAAAACAGTAAAAGACCAGGAAAAAACAAACGAAAAACAATTAAGAATAAAAAGAAGTAACCATTTAACATTGCATAGTTTTTGTTGTTTCTTTAATGCGATTATGACATGATTTTGTTATCCTTCAATGAATCACCAGTCACATAACTGAACCAATTCATTATTAGAATAATAATGACAAATTTATATTTATTTACCTTTTATTAAAAACAAAATTTTTTAAAATAGCCACATTTCATTGTAAAATCACTATGTGGACTTATTTGTAAAACATAAAAAATAACATTTGAAAAATTGGGCATATTCTTGCATTAATTACATTTTCCTTTTAAACAATAATGATTTCACTAAAAAGTGTTTATAAATACAACTTAAGTGTTGTCAATGACATAATTATTTTACCTGAGCAATATTTTTCACTGTGAAAGTAAAATGAATTTTTTTCAATGTCCTAGTGTTTGATCAAAGAGTAAGTTTTTTAAAGTACACTATTGCAACTCAGGTGTCCACACAAAAGATTTTGTTTCATGATGATATTCACTCTGTAGACAAAAAGATTAGTTTTTAGTCCTTATTCACCATTTAAAGAGTGATCATTTGGCTGGTTGTTTTTCTGGTTCAGCTTTTAGACTCCATGCCTTGTCCATGTACTTTGTTATACTGGAGCAGTGACGATGAAAATTTAAACGTCTGTCTGATTTTTCATGTTCTATCTGTAAATAAAAAAATAATAAAAGATTATTAATTGCATATTCAAATCTGGCTTTTGTTTACTGTAGAAATATAAACATTAAGGGTTTGTCAATTTTAATCTCTATGGACTAAGCATATGAAAGAAATTTTTTGCTAGCGCTGTGGTTACCATTTAAATCTAATTATGATGGTAAGGAAACTAATGAAAAATTAAGCTGACTTCTTAGCCAGCTAACCATAGAATTATGAATGCTAGCTAATTTAGCTAGTAGTCAAAATTCTACTGTTACAAGCAGGGATGTGAAGTTCTCAATTAACTGGACTTTTATAAAATTCTCTATTTATATTGAATTGACTCCTCAAAAATAAAAACTACAGAGGTAAAAAAAAAGTCATTTTATTCTTCAAGCTTAAGCCCAGATTTGGGATAAACGACTAATTCTATGCTTGTCTAAAGTAAAGCTAAGTTAAAATAATTGACCTTGATACACTGGTTAACTATAAACCCATTTTATTTTTCAAGGATTAAGAAATTAAGCACTTTCATAAACAAAAGAGAATCTTGAAAACACACCAATGGTCGACTAATCCAGCCATATTCTTGAGATTCTGTTTGTGGGAAAGCGTATTTTTTTACTGGTTCTTGGTTTGCCCTTTTGATAACTTGCCGAAAATGATCTTAAATAAATAAATATCAATGTTTAAACTGATTAAAATTTTAATAACATTTCATTTAGGACAAATAAGTCTTTCAGATATGTGATTATGTTTTTTTATTTTTACTTTTCTATAATTGCCTGAGGGGAAACAAGCTATTCTATTTTCTTAAAATTCAACACCAAATGCCTTTTTAAAATCTTTAACCATCTTTACATCAACTACTTAACATCAGTACTTAACATAATTAAAATATTTTAAAAAATATTTTAGCTGTCATGTGAACTGAAAAAAAATCGTTTTAAAAAAACAACTAATGTATGTTTAGAAGACAGTACTGATATAAAATTACAGAAAAATAATAAGCAAGTCTAGTTGACAATTGTTAGATGGTTACCATCTTCTTCTCCTTCAGCAGTATCATGCATCGAGTTTGGTTTGCCAGCTATGACATGTACTGAAATACAAAGTAACAGAATTAGATTTGCTCAAAGATAAAAAGTTTGAAATGGATTTTATAACATGATTTGTTATTCAAAAGCTGTCAATATTTATGCAGTTTATTATTATAGGCATGATGAAAATAAAAATAATAATATATTTTATAGTTGAAGTAAGTGGCTTATTTAATATAAAGTAAAAAAAAAATACAACATTAACAGCCACTTATCAATAGGATCTAAGGCATCAAATACTATCATCATCAACAAGCTTGATTAATGGATATTTTAAATTTGATTCTGATGCAGGGAGACAACTTGGGTAAAACAGAGGCGTAGCGACCCTTCCCGGCGACCGGGAACAAACTTTCAATTTGGCGCCCCCTCGGGATCAACCTTTCAATTTTCGATTTGCAACACCCCCCCCCCCCCTCAAATTTTCAATTTGTACCCCCCCTCAAACTTAAGATTTGCACCCCCCCTCATATATTTTTTTTTTTATATTTATAAAGCAAAAATGCAGCTAAAATGAGATTTTAATTTGTCTTTCCAACCCATTTTGCCGGGGACATATGTACCCCCCCTCGCTACGCCTCTGACCCACTATCAAAATTATGATACAAAAATATTAGTTTATGGGGGGTGGGGGGAAACTGATTAGATAATATATAAATATTCTTAATGTTTACAGGCCTATTCTAATTTTAAAAAGTATTATATTCAATGTAAAAGTAACTCATTCATTAGACAAACACACTCGTCTTGGGCAGTCACTAAAATTTTCTACCTCACCCTCGCTGAGAGTGATTAAAAACACTCAATGTTTTCATACAGCACACCCAGTTCTTGAGGCATGATAGGCAGACCCTAACTAAGGAATTTTTTTTTCAGTAAAAAATAATTTGTACAGAAAGATAATATTAATTACCACCGAATTGGTTAATCTATCATTTTAGGTATGCAATGCTAGTAATGTCAAAAAAAAGGTGACTCATTAATATTGAGTAATTATTTCACATTTTTATGAGGATTTATGTTTTGAAAGTTTAAAAAATGTTTCAAAGTTTCATTCATGTACCTGTTTTTAAACAAATGTATTAAAACTTTTAAGTAATAAAGATTAGCGATGTTTTATCAGATGCAGCCAATCTCAGTTACTTTAGCGGGGTCGGCGTGGTCGAGTCGGTAAAGCTGATGGTTGCTCAACCAAAAAGTCTCGAGTTCGAACCCTCGGGCATATGAGGCTCGTTAGCTGGGGACAGCCACTCTTCTAGGAGAGACAACTCCAAAATCAAACAACTGCTGCCTTGTAGTTTGTTCTTGGTTGGACAAAGGCTATGGAAGCAAATCCAAAAAGAAAAGCAGGCTGAAATCGGAGTCAATGGCCTCAATGGCGCATAACCAGTTGACACGTATCCTTAATTGTGATAGAGGCGTGGTCGAGTCGGCAAAAGCTCATGGTTGATAAATTCGAAAAAGTCTCGAGTTCAAACCCTCTGGCAGATAAGGCTCGATCCCCTCCAACACTAAAAATTAAGAACGAAGAAGAAGAAGTTACTTTAGCAGCCACCTTGTTTAATTTTATTTTGGTAACAACTCTAATTTATAGATGACAGCTGTTTATATAGCAAATCTTGCTCACAAACGCTGCTGTTTAAAGTTAATTTCTGGCGTATATTGATAAATTTATTATTCAATTATCGATTATATTTGACACAAATATATCACAATATACTTGTATTAAAGCCATAATAATTGATAATAATGAGTCATCTTTTTTTCACATTGCTAGCCTTGTTGATTTTACATACCTAAAATGATAGATTACCCTAAATTGACTATGTAGTAGTATTATTAAGTATAGTAGTACTAGAAAAATCTATATCTAATAATTATAAGTTTTACATAGGCCTACTTACAAATTACAAAATACTTTTTCATTGTGAAATATTAAAATTTTGTTGATTTTTACTGTCAAGTCAACATTAACTAAGTTGACATTTGAAAACTGTCATACTCATTAATGTACAATTAGATCCAGAGTCTAGTGACAATCTAGCCTAGAATTTTTCTAGCTAGTACATCTAACTTGATTCTAGTACCTTAATTTTAACTTATATTTTATAACTTAATTTTGACTTACTCACTTAAGTTGACTTAAATTACTTGTCTTAATACTTAACTAAATAACTTACTTACACTATAGTAGTCTATAGTTTTAAGTATAGGCCCTACTTCTTTTACATTTTTACTTTTAGCGATTTAGTAATTTTTACTGTTTTAGGCCTAACCGCTAACCGCCTATGGCTACTACTAGTCTAGATAATTCTAGATCTAGATTCTAACTAAAACTAGCCGTTTGTTTTAGTACCGTTCAATAGTTAATAGTTAGTAGAGACTAGATCTAGTGGTTAAGTAATAAGTATTTAAGTACTAGATCTAAGTAGAGTACACTAAGAGTAGAGACTAGAGTAGAGGCCGTTGTATTGTAACCGTTAGTTAGGCCAAAACATAAATTTGAAAATTAGAAGTATTGTAATTGTAACAGTGAAATTGTTATACTTTTCCGGAATGGATTTATTCCATAATTTGTGTACAGTTTTTGACATCTGTTTTCTTTCGCAATTGTTTCACATAAAATGCTATTCTGATGTACAGGATTCACTGGCTCTTTCTCTGCCTGTTTGGCCGCCATCTTTGATACTGACGCCAAGAAGCATTCGGGTTGCTATGAGGAGATTATTTAAAAATTTCCAGTTAAATTTGAAATTATTGAAAAGTATATATAATTTTATTTTTTTTAGTTGAAGCCATATGATAATTATGATTATTTCACTTTTAAATGCTTTAATTTAAAATAAAAAAATATATTTAAATTTCCCATAGTCCTTTGTGGACGCCATTACCACTGTATCAAAACAGAAATCTTCAGCTGCTCTGTGTCTATTATATTATTGTCTCTAGTTAATAGTTTATGTTGCCATTCAATATGCTTGGTAAACCAATTTATCTTATATTTTGCATTAAATTACTTTGTTATGAATAATAGAGACACTTAAAAAGAATACACATTGTTAAAACAATTTATTATTTCGCTGTTGAATTGTGTTTTCCCCTGCCCTAGGTTTTGAATTTTCAAAAAATGTAGGCCTAACTAAATTTAAAAAAATAAATCCATGAAATCGACTGAAGATCTAGATCTAGATCTAGAATCTAGACTACTGTTGTAGTCAATGTAACGTGAAAGGTTAATGAAAATAAAATTGTTGGGCTGAATAAAATAGTACTATCATATTCTTTCAGTTCTCTGCTGAACAGCTGATTCAAGCTGATTGAATTTATTTTGAATGATTGATAGATCTAGTTGATAGTTTTGATACCCTCACATCAGTCAATCAATTGCTTACTTAAATCACTCAGTGCAGGGTGTAGTTTAGTTTAGGCCCTAGTTTAAGGTCATGTACGCTAGTTAACTAGAATAAATACTCAACTACATACAAGAGATCTAGTACCACTAGCTAGAGGATAGGCTGTTTGATGAGAACTACAGAATGATTTTTTTATTAAAAATGTATCAATAATAGCTAGAACACTAGTAAACTAAGCTAATTTAGCATATTTTAACTTTCTGTGCAAAGTCATTATTACTGAAAAAAATTCCAAAGTCAGGTCAGCCTGTGGCACCCTCCACTGAACGTGACAGAAGGAAAAAAAAACTTCACCCGTGACCTTCATTAAAACAGAATTTGCTTTTGTTTTATTTTTATTTTTGGTAAACATGTGCTTAATCTTACCCAATAAGTGATAAAAATTTGAAAATTAATTTTAATTACTGTTGTAAAGTGAGATAAACAGCTTAATAAACACATGCTTTCTTGAGGGGGTGTGGCCCGGGTGTGGCACATCGCAATTATAACTTTATATTTCTGTGTTTTATGACTATATTTGTTCACAATTAGCATGCTATGTTTTTTAAATTGATAAAAGGTAAGTATACCAAGTTACAAAATCCGCAATCTAACTAATAATTCATACTTTCAATTTAAAAAATAATAAAAACGATCATCAACGAAGAAAGCGTAAACATTCTATTTTTAGGTATGACATAAAAAACAGTCATAAATCTAGCCAAATGATTGGATTCTTGCGCGGCACACATTTTCCCGCGCCTCGTTTTCACCAAACAAGAATATAATAAAATGGCATTATTACTTACACCCTCAAAAGCATTGTTTCCACCCTAATTATATTAAACAATTCTATTTTTATTTGATAGTAAAGATGATATACAAATTGTATATTACAATAAAGTTATTGTAGAACGCACCTGCTTTTAGTTTATTCGACTTGAAACGCAAGCTAGGTCAGCGTGACTTTCTCTCGACTGCCTCGTTAAATACAAATAAAGAAATTAGGTCAAGCTGCCATTATTAAAATGTTAATTATTCGCCCCGTAAATACATGGGCAGTTTCGAGTGAAAATCTATCCGATTACGATACAATCCTTAGTTTTAACTATCATGTACTTCATGAGAAAGAAATGATTCGATATTTTATATGGCCGCCCAAAACACGGGTGCTTCAAAACCGCGAGAACGAGATTTCACGAATCGAAAAACCTAGCTAGAGGAGTTTACACTTTTCGGACACACACCAAAAATTACGTAGGAGCGAACACTTCGTCGGTTTTTGGCTCATAGAAACTTTAATTAGCATGTCTCACGCGAAACCACGGCGCCTGCACGTAAACTGTTCATTTATGAACACTTCCGTGTCAAGTACTTCCGTTTCCTTTCTCAAGAATTATTTTTAGAAATTTTTTAACGTTGCATGGTACGCACATTTCTATTTTTACACCAGCCGGATGAAGTGACCTAGGGTTGGACTTAGGGGCAAAACTTGAACCAATCAATGCTTAGCTAAAAGGTTACACTATAAATAGCTTCTATATATGTATGGAACATCGTAAATGTCAAGGTTAATGGGTTTTTTTGTGCTTGAACAATAAAAAAGGGGTGTTCGCTAACTTATTTGGCCTTACATGGGAGCGGACAGCAACACAAAAATATTACTAAATAAGAATTTAGAGCATAAAAGGGGCTGGTTATTGAAGGGAAAGGGTCAAAATAAGGTCAAGAAGGCAGTGGAATGCGAAAGAGGAGGGGGAATCATGTGACCTGGCTGGCTTAGCAGCGTACTGCGCGAGCCGCAATGGCTGAATGGGATGAACTTTGGGAGTGTGGGAAAAAGGTTTTATACTATTAAAATTACCTCACAAACAATCAATAACACAATATAAATGCATATAATATATGTTTTTATTCATTAAATTGACTTTAAATTATTCTAAATGAACAAAAAGTGCTATGTCCGATGACGGGTAAAGGTGTCCGAACACATGTAAAACTGTATTACATGTGTTCGAACACACGTTAAGACCCCCCAGTCACTATAACAAGAATAGCTTAAGTTCTATGCGTATGAATACAAAATGACACACACATTATTAAAGTAGAATGGTTGCGGATAGATATGATACTTTTTTTTTGTTTTCTATGTTAAGCGGTTACTGAATGAGACCGCATGGAATTTTTACGTTGCGTTTTTTCGCTATGTGTGTCCGAAAAGTGTAAGCTCCTCTAGATCTATAGGCCCCTATCTTCTTCTACTTGTCAAATTTTAGTGTATTCACTGTAAGTGTAAGTAGTCTGCCTCTGGTTACATTACAATTACAATGCTTTCACTACACTGCGCATGAATATATAATAATAAAACACCTCTAGGAGTGACCTGGTTTTTAGATGACGCTAAATGTCTCTGGTTTAGGCCTATGTGTTAGATTTAGATATGTTAGACTGATAGACTACCATCAGCTTAAGAATATGATTGTAATATTTTTGTATGAAAGTAACAGCCACATATAGATCTGCATTTTCTGTCACACCAATAATTATCTTCATTAGAATCAACTACTAGGCCTAATTAACCTAATTCAAGTTCCAAATGGACAATACAGAGTTCCATCATTATTGTTGACATGAATAAGATTTTGCAATCAAAGCGACTGTATAAATAATAAAAACTTAGGTCTAATCCTGAAAATAATTTGGAAATTTATTATTTTTATAATCACTGTTATAGAAGTCGCAAATCCTAAGAATTTTAAAACAAAATCTTTTAGTTCAAGGCTTCATTTCTATTTATTTCAATCAAGACTAAGTTATAATCACTCTCATAAGACAAACATTGATGGGTGTTGGGAGATTGCGAGACGCGAAAAGCGAAATGGCGAGGCGGGAAAATGCGAGAAGATAATGCGAGACATACCTGCGGAATTAAGGGTAAATAGCGAGACACTTTTTGCGAAAAAAAAAGTTTTTTTTATGCTTTTTTCATCTTTATTTATTTTTATTAATTTTTATTTTTTTGTTTTAAAATAAACAAGCATTTAGCCATACCCTTTAACACGAGTGTTTTATGTTGTTATTTTTAATCTAGATTTTATTATATAGATAGATAGATACTAAGAAGATAGATAGATCTATATCTAGATCTATCTATTTAAAAATCCTAACATCGTTGCTGTGCTACTGTCATCGCCCTCTCTCGTTAGCGAGAGGAAAATCACGTCTCAGTCGGCATTAATTTTAAAAATCTAGCCCGCTCATGTTTATACAAACGTGAGCTGTGTCATTGTGAATTGGAATAATCTTGTCAGCAGGAGAGATATTCTGCAACATGTATTCATGGATTGTTGTACTTGCAAAAAGTGTAAAAGTATAAACAATTCTAAAAACTGCAATTTATTTTTTATTAAGTAATTTTAATTACAAACAAAATTTACAAATAAAATCTTCTGAAACAGTCCTAGCACTACTCAAACACACCGCGCCACACCATCTTTCACACATAGTACATCCAACCCAGTTCATTAGACTCCCATTTATACTGTGCTAACACAGAACACGAAAATGAACAGAATGACAAAAAAAATGTGCGTTTGTAGATACTCTGAATAAAGTCCGCTATCGACAAAACTACCATTTAATAGCGTAAAGGGGTCCTTCATAAATGATGTCACGCTTTTTTTGACGATTTTTACGCCCCCCCCCCCCCTTCCCCCCATCACACATTTTCACAAAAATCCAGACACCCCTCCCACTAAAATGACGTCACACCTCAGCCTACAACCCCCTTCAAAATTGCAGTTGAATTTTTTTTAAACATCAATATTTTTCCAAAATCTTGTCTGAACTCTTTCAAAATAGAGTATTTTAATCAATTCCTATTACAATTTATTAAAACAGTTTTCTAAAACGCGAAATAACGTCTAAAATTCTTTTTCTAACATTGCTTTTTATAGTGTGACGTCACAAAATCTAACCCCCCCCCCCCCCCCCACCCTCCGCCTCATCACACATTTCTATGCAACAATACAAAATATGTTTGCGGCGGCAGCAGATTCGGGCTCGGTGATCTTCAAAGACTGTAAATCAGGCGGCCTCGGCGTTCCACACAAAAGACAGAAATTGATCCATCGTCGGCGGTATTTCCGTCGGTTTCGAACAAGGTGGTATTCTAAGTCGACACAAAAGAATGGGGGAGTTGACAAATCATCAGTATGTCTAGCGACGAAAAAAACCGGAAGTTTTAACAATGTAAATAAACGTCTTTGTAGTCTGGACCAAATACCACTGAAAATCGGGTGCGGTAAATTTTTCGCAGAAATCTTCGCATTTCAACACCACCCAGCGTAAGTATCGGGTTGTGGTAAAATGCGAGACAAAAAGTCACGTGACCGACCGTTTTCGCGCCCTTCTCGCATTTTCCCCGCCTCGCCATTTCGCTTTTCGCGTCTCGCAATTTCCCCACACCCAACATTGATTGCTCTGCAGGAACTCAGTGATAGGTTTTCTGAAAACCCAGCTTAAAAAAGCTTATAGTAATTAAACTTAGCTGATACAATATTTTTAAAGTTTACATAAATGCTTACAGTTAAATTGATTTTGGCTTTTTAAAAAGTTTTGCTTAGTTAGGGCCTACCGAAAATATAAAAAATATTAAAAACAGTACAATCTTAAGTTATTGTCCAACAAAGATCGGATTTTTTTATAACCACATTTATTTTATCAACATTGTAGGCTACATGATTTTTAAAATATTTAAACATAACTAATAAACTCTCTAATTAAACTATTAATTCTGTTTTTTACTATTGTAAGATTAATTAGATAGACCTACAATATTTAAGGCTTTTTAATAAATTACATTTGAAATCACAAAATATTTCGTTATACAGTAAGGAAATGTTTATTTTCTTTACCTTTCTACTGATAGTTTTCATTGTCATAATGCTCTTGTCTCAATGATTGTTTTTACTTTGTGTTATATTGAGCATAGAGGAAGTATTGTAATCGGGCTAAAAAAAATTAATAAGTATTAAGAATACTATATGTATAGTATTCATGATACTTATTATTAGACGAGAAAAATGGCCCGTTGAGGAAGGGTACAACGGGCGCTAGGCTGATAGTGCTGTCTCTTTTCTCTAAACTAAAACCAACCCACCCCCCCACACACCACCCCCACCCCACCCCCACACACCACCCCCACCCCCACCCCCCACCACACACCACCCCCACCCCTCACCCCCACACACCACCCCCTCCACACACCGCCCCCCCACCCCCCCAAAAAAAAACATGTCTACCGTCCCATTCAACGAAATATAATTATATACTTTTTCCAGTGTCCGCCCCCTCCCAGAAAATTCTACCCCCGCCCCCGAAAATTTCAAGTACCCCCACCCCTCTCTGGGGAGGAAAAAGTCTGAAAGAAATACTGAAACCAACCCACCCCCACCCCCCACCCCCACACACCACCCCACACCCCCCCCCCCACACACCACCCCCACCCCCCACCCCACACACCACCCCCCCCACCCCTCCACCACCCCCCACCCCCAAAAAAAACATGTCTACCGTCCCATTCAACGAAATATAATTATATACTTTTTCCAGTGTCCGCCCCCTCCCAGAAAATTCTACCCCCGCCCCCGAAAATTTCAAGTACCCCCACCCCTCTCCGGGGAGGAAAAAGTCTGAAAGAAACACTGAAACCAACCCACCCCCCCACACACCACCCCCCCCCCCCCCCCCCCCCCAAAAAAAAACATGTCTACCGTCCCATTGCAAGAAAACCACTTTTTAGATTAGACACATTAATTAGGCGGTAATTTTATTATAGAGTATCGATGAGGAAATTTCTTTTGAGTTGGGGAGGGGGGGGGGGCTCAGACGTTCTTACGCGGGGGGTGGGGCTTCGCCCCTACCCGAAGAATTGTATGCAAGAAACTCTTCACGCAAACCATTTAGATTAGACAACATTTCCTTTTTTTCAATGTTTACGCGAGAATCAATGACGTCATTACATTACTGTGTGCACTCTCTGGTTTGAGATTATGTTCTACTCTACGCTAAATGTGTCGACGTCATATTTCGTTTTTCGAATTACTGTGCATGTTTTTAAATTGCTTGTCTTTTCTCTAGAGCGTTCTTGTCAGACAGATAGATAGATAGATAGAGAGACAGCGAAACTATTATTATAGATTTTGCTTAACAAAATGCTATGGGCACTGTGTGCTGAGCATAGTCACAGCATAAAAATTTTAAGCCAAAAAGTACAATCTAGGCTCTCGGCACTGAGCAGAAGTGACAGTTGGCTGTTTTTTTTCTTAGTTTCGGTTTTAATACCAAAGGGGGTGAGTCCTCATTGGGATGAAATAAAAATTGTATTCTCACTGATTACTTAAATGCTAGAATGGACACTTGTGTATCTGAAAAAGTTGAAATTTTTTTTTTTTTAATTTAACAGAAATTGTTTTTGTATGTAATATTTAATTAATTAAAGCTGAATAGCCTACACAGTTTGTTTATCACATAATTGCATATGAACACAAATCTAAAACTATATTACTTACTCATGGCCTATCTAATTCATGGCCAATTTTAATTTAATTATTTCCCGGTTTAACCTGTTCCCTTAAAAAGAGTATTACAATATTGTTTGATTTTGATATTGAACTAATCGCTTAGGCAACTGTGTTGGTGTACAATCCCTGAGGTTTTTAATTCTAGCACATTATTCCCTTGTCTTTTAGATCCCACACTTCAGATCATATAAAAACACATAAAACTCTTAAAACTGAAAGTAAGTTTCAGAAAGAGTTGGCAAATGTGTTCTTTTTGAAAAAAATAAAGACCATAAGAGTTTTAGAACTGACTAACCCAAAGTTAATATTTTATAACTGGTAAGGAAGGAATAATATCACCTAAAAATCCTAATTTAAAGACTGATCCCAATTCACTGATTTCAATGCAGCTTAGCACAGTAGCAGAACAACAAAGGCAATTTAACTTACTTCTAGTTCAGAATATCCTATTTTCTTTTGGATCAGGCTTCAGTCAAAATGAATGGTGGGCTAATGAAGTCATGTGGGGATATTGTGTATGGGAACTGCTAAATGATTACCCCTGATAGTAAATACACAATGCTCTCTTAATTGTAATTGTGTTCTTTTAGCTGTCTTTTGGCTTATTCTTGTGACTCATATATTAAAGCAGTGGGCTACATGATCAGCTAGAAGTAAACTGAATTTCCTGATGTTTCTCTACCATGAGTATTTCTCTTACAGTCAAATTTGGATTTCTAGTTCTTAAATAATTTTTTTCTTTAATTTCTATGGAATAATGGAAACCAGTGTTCTTAATGTTATTTCATAATTTTTTTTAAACAAATAAAATAGTATTAAAATTAATATTTCCTTTAAAAATTGTAGAAGCAGTTTGAAACTAATGCATAACTTTACTGAAGTCTGTTTGTTTTTTCTTTCCTCAGTATAGTGTTTAACTAAATCAGCTCCCCTTTAAAAAAAATCAACCAACTAAAGAGCACATGTTGAAGCAAACTTGTCCTTTAATTTTCTGTTTAAGTCAACGAAATTTTAAATAATATACATTAATACAATGGACCCAGAATATGAGAAACGACTTCTTCGTCAACAAAATGGGCAACTGTCTCCTTATGGCGTAAGTTTTTAAAATAATTTAGACACAAGATGTATCATTATTATAGCTTTATTATTTATTAAATTCATTTCCTGTTCGTTTTCTTTACATTAAGCAATGTTTAAAATTTTTATCTACATTTTCTTTGTTTCCTAGAATGCTTACTCAAGCCCAGTAGTGTCCCCAAGCAAAAGAATTTATGGTGATAGGTTCATCCCTTCCAGATCAAGCCCTTGTTGGAACATCAACTTTGATCTTCAGCAGGTCAGTGCTGTGATTGACTCTAGACCTTATGTAATACATGCTCACCCCTCCCATTTTATACTCTACGAGCCGACCCGTGGCGTATCATACGCCGCTATTTAGTTGTTTTTTCTACTTTTCTGGCCACCAGTTGTTCCGGTTTTCTACTTTTCAGTAATTCATAATTTGTGAATTCGACAGTACCAATGCTCCCACTGAAAATATTTGCTTTAAAACACTAAACCCCCATTCCCCCCCCCCCCCCCCCCCCCGTGAAAGCAGCCTCCTCTTAGTTACCTCCTCTAAGTTTAAAATAGTTTCAAACTGAATTATCTGCCCCTAATAGCCGTCACCAAACCCGACTCTACGATTGTTTTGTAAACATTTAGGCCTAGCGTGAACTACAACTCACCTGACCATGTGGTGGGGGGTGGGGGTGGTAGCGATAGAGAGGAAGAGAGGGGACAGCAAGGCGCGCGCTTGCAGCTTGTTTTCTAACGGCTCCCAGAAGAGAATTATATATATAGATTCCAGTCATGTTTAACTCAGAACATATTGATTGATACCATTTTTATGCTGAATTATTTCCATTTGTTTCATTAAAGCCACACACCCCTACCTCATCTGTCAAATCTAAAGATACAAATACTGAGTCTGCGAAAGATGGTTTGGCGTATGCTTGTTTGCTGAAAAATGAGCTGTTGGCTGCCGGAATAGAAGATTTAAAGGTACTTTAATTTTAAATATTTTTTTTTTTACAATATATACATTGCATTATCCTAGATGCACTATACAACCATTACTCTACATCACTAAACAACCACTAAAAAAACTCTAAAAACATCCTAGTGGTAAATTAACAAAAATATTAATTAGCTTTTGGCAATGAGCTAGTAGTGTTTAAAGAAAGCACTAATTGCAAGTATAATTAATTTTACACAATTTTTCAAAACTAGGATCTGCAAACTGATGACAAAAAAGTACTGGCTCCTAAAGAAAGCAAAAATTTATTTAAAGTAAGTAAAACTAAAATGTTTACTATATTAAAAATGTTGCAAGCAGTTTTTGTTTATTTTGAACTAAAAGATTGAAAAACATGACAAATTAAGAAATAGGCAAGAATAATGTTTTTTTTTTAAATTAGAGTCCTTAGCCAAAATATACAAAAGTAGAAGTTACAGTTTTGTTGTTGTTATAAACAGTTTTTAATTATTTTGCATCAGTAGGGAATTACATTTTTTCCTTATGTTTATATAACGTTAAAGAAAATAATACTCTTTTCACAGTTTCATACTCCTCGCCGATGTTCTGATGGCTGTGACACTTCACCTTATTCATTATCTCCTGTTGGTAGCAAGAGTCAGAAACTGCTTCGTTCACCTCGTAAAGTAAGCTGCCCTTTATAGTTTGTATAAATTTTGTATAGTATTCCTTTCTCCCTGATCAAATCTATTCTCCTAGTTATGATTCCTATTACCCATGTGAGGCATTGCTTTTTTAAACAATTAACTAATTACAGTATTATTTAAATGATCTTAGCTTTTTTACTTAGAAACTTTGTATTAATAATCATAATGAGACAAAAGAGTCAGGATTTTTTAATTACCAAAGTTGGACATCAGGGTTTAACACCTGAATTTTAATACTAAGTATTATAACAATGGTACATTGTTTTCAGGCTGTGAGGAAAATATCTAAGATACCTTTTAAAGTTTTGGATGCTCCTGAATTACAAGATGATTTTTACTTAAATTTGGTTGACTGGTCCTCACAAAATGTACTTAGTGTAGGCCTTGGGACATCTGTGTATTTATGGAGTGCGTGCACAAGTCAGGTATAGGGGCTTAATATTCATGTACTATGATATTTTTATTTCAATAGATCATTTCCCCTTTTATGCTAGATATTATAACTATAGAAATAAATAATAAAATGGTTTAGGAATGTTTTTGCAGTAGATGCTAAATTGTTTCTTTATGGTATCTGGTGTTAACTTCTATGCTTTAAATAAATTTTATTGTCAAAACAATGCTCAAAAAACAGCTACTGATTTCCATTTTAAATTTGTTGCAACAGGTGACACGTTTGTGTGATCTGTCTACAGATAATGACACTGTGACGTCCGTGTCATGGTCAGAAAGGGTAACATTTTATATAAATTTTAACTCCTTACATAAGTTTTAATGACATCGTTATTAATTTTTATTTAAAAATCCAGAAGTGTTAGTTCTTTATAATTTAAAATGAAGATTTTTAATAGTATTAAAGAAATAAATTTAGTAACCAGAGTTTCATCAATCAGTTATTTATCAACATGTATTGGCAGTAATTTTACTTGCATAGTAATAAATTTTTTATGTAAATCAAAAGTATGTTACTTGAATCTTGAATTTCTGTAGTGTTTTTAAATGTTTTTTTTTTGAATAAAAATCATAATTAGGGTAATCAAGTAGCTGTGGGGACAAACAAAGGTATTGTACAAATATGGGATGTTGCATTGAGCAAAAAAGTTCATGCATTACCAGGGCATGGAGCTAGAGTGGGTAAGTTTTCTTGTACATTTTTAAAAATCCTTTTTTTTCTTGAAGACAGTTATTGTGTTAAACTTCTGTTTTTAAAAATGAAATATGCTCAAGTAGTAAATACTAGCCATCGTTACCTGTTACACATGAACTATAGACCTATACATTTTTAATGTAGTTATACTTGTTTTAGAAAAAAGTTATAAAATAGTTATTGGTCAAAACGCAATGTGCTTTACCACACGTTGAATGATATTAGTGACAAAGCAAAGAAATAATTAAATAGCTAAAACTTTGGTTTTAATTTTTCTAATAGGTATTTGTAGCCTATTATATTCATTATTAGTCAACACAACAGCATGTTAAATGCACACACTGATTAAGAGACTTAAATGATTACGTTAAAAACTCGGCTGTTCAATGGTATTTACATGTTTTTTAAAGTAATTTGTATTACTTTTGGTCAAGAAAATTGTATACATTTCATAGCCTACGTCGTGATAAGTAGATCTAAATCAAATTTGAATAAAATAGTTCATTTCTTCATATTCTAAAATTGGAAGAGGATGTGTCATTTACTTTCCATAGCTTAAACATATGACATGTGATGACATTGTTTATTACGTTCTTGTCACAACCATAATCACTTTTCCGGTTGCATAGTTAAAAATGTATTTCTGCATTGGAACATTGCTTTATTTTTATTTTCCTTCTTTAAATACAATTTAGTTTATACATTTATCCAACATATTACTGAGAGAGAGAGAAGTGCGCACATGGGCTTTTATATATTAGGATTACTCATGTAATTTTAAGTTTAACTATAATTGATATACTTTTTTTTTATCAGGGGCATTAGCATGGAATGGGGATATGCTTTCTTCTGGTAGCAGAGACAGGTTAATTCTACAAAGGGATATAAGAACTCCAAACACAACACCAGAGAGGAAACTAATTGGTCACAAACAGGAGGTGAGTCTCTACCACTATTCATTGCTTTCACAAAACCAATGTTCTATTAGTTTAGCCCTAATTTATCCTGCTTCTGTTTACACTATATGTTGTAAAAGTTATTTATCATTACATTTTAAATAAATTGTTTTACACCAATGTAATTACGGCTAATAATTTATTTTTGGAATTTGTGGAGTTATTCTAGAAAATCCAATACCTCAACAGCTTTTCTGAAACCTTACTGGTAGATTAAATCTGTTAGTACTGGTCAAACAAAACACTATTTGTAGCTTAATTAAAGAATAACTTGGTAAAACTTTAACAATTCTTTTGTTTTAGGTGTGTGGTCTAAAATGGTCACCGGATCACCAACATTTAGCATCTGGGGGAAATGACAACAGACTTTTTGTGTGGAATGCCACAAGTACCACACCAATGCAGACACACATGGAGCACCTGGCTGCCGTGAAAGCCATTGCATGGTCTCCTCACCAGCACGGTCTCCTGGCCTCGGGTGGGGGTACAGCTGACCGGTGTATCAGGTTTTGGAACACACTGACAAATCAACCCTTACACTGTGTAGACACAGGTTCTCAAGTCTGTAATTTAGCCTGGTCCAAACATTCAAATGAACTAGTGAGTATTCTAGTTTTCATTCCGTTTATTCTTTAACATAGGAGGTAAAAGTTATCTATCTTACTGATTAATAAAATGATAATTTATTTTCTCAGGTGAGCACACATGGGTATTCACAAAACCAAATCTTAGTGTGGAAATATCCATCTCTAGTACAGATTGCCAAGCTAACAGGACATTCTTTCAGAGTACTCTACCTGGTGTGTAAAATTTTAATTGTGTCAGATATAATCTTCTCTTACTAGTCAAATTTTACACTAACAATTTTATTAATTAGGCATAGTTTTGTTTTCCTCTTATTTACTCATGAATGCCATTTTTCTGGGATATCCCAGAATTACGGATTCGAGAATAATATTTTCTGAATTTGCAAAATTTTACAATTCCCAGGTTTGTAGTTTAAAAATAAAGACTATTTAAACTTGAAAATTTTGGCACTCTATTAATGGTTTTTATTATCAAGACGCCATAGCATTTTTACTTTTTATGGCCCTTTGCGTCATTTGTATATACCAAGATGGTACAGTACGAACCAGATGTATAAACCTAAAATTAATTTACATTGCCGTGACACCATCTATTGCTCTGCTTATTACAACAGTGCACAATTCTACCACTTTTAATAGCTATATTTCGAACATAAAATGAATTAGATGTCTTGAAAAGTAATGAAATATTTAATAATACAAAAAAAAATTCAGTGCATCTAAGTTTCATGGTTTTAAATTTTTCAAATTTTGGTTTCCGGATTAGTAAATTTGGGGATTGATTTTAAGGATTCCCTTATAAAATGAGTGGCAATCTGTTTATTGAAGTCAATAGATATGTTGATTAAAATATTTGTTTTTAATTTAAAATGATGTCTCACACAGGCAATGTCACCAGACGGAGAAGCTATTGTAACCGGAGCGGGGGATGAGACTCTCAGGTTCTGGAATGTATTCAGCAAAACACGCTCAACAAAGGTGAGTGGGCGGAAAAAAGCCTTTTTTATTATCCTCTTGTTTAGTAGATGATGACAAAAGTTGATCTTAGGTCTGTACAAAGCAGGTACTAAGCTTTGCCTTGGTGTTCAATTAAAATTTTTTTAATTACTTAAAACTTTCAAGCAAGTAGTAGAACATTTTTTTTTTCCACATTTTTTAAAATTCACCCTATATTAGAATGACACATGCTTAAGTATCAACAAATAAATTATTATTTAAGGGGTGTAGAAAAAAAAAACACTGTTTAGTGCAGCAGTTTTCAAATTTATAACAATCATCCAACTTATTATTTTGGTTAAATAATTATTTTTTCCTGCTTTATTTCAGGAATCTAAATCAGTGTTAAATCTTTTCACCCGAATCAGATAAGATTTGTTCACTAACAACCCATTGTAAATTCCATCAAGTATTCACTGCTGTTCTCACATTGTCAGCTCTGGTATCAATGCCACCAACATTTATAAACAAAATGTAACTATTTGTTAACTCTTTATCATGCCTAGTCTCAAACTATAACATGTTTTCCTTTGACATTGTTTTACTTTAGATTCTGTATTGTTAGAATGTGGTACATCTGTTTGGGAGAGAATTTTAAGCTACTATTTCATGTTGCTGAAGATAGTTACATTTTCATCTTTATAAAATGTTATTACTATGTTTTTAGTTTAGTAGGATTTATTTATGTGGGCTTATTTTTATTTCTTTATATGTTTTGGGTTTTCTTTTTTTTTTTCCTGCTAATGCACCATTTTTTGTTTTGTTTACTTTATTTTGTTTTATAGAGTGCCGACCTGATACATTTTTGTGTGTATTAGCTCATTCAGTTTATAGTGCATTATAAATAACAGATAAAATGGTAGCTTCAGTATTTTTTAAACTGTTATCAATATGTTTTATCCCATAACTAATTGCAACAAAACAACACTATTTACAGAACATGAAAAGTTGTTTTTTTTAAATGAAGAAAGTTTATACTTACAGAAACATGAAATCCATTCCTTATTTGAATTTCTAGCTATGAATAGTACCCAGATACACTCACTGTACCAAAAATAACAGTATCTAAATATGGCAGTTAAAAAAAGAACAGCAGTTGTACATTTTTATAAATCTTGCATTAAGTTATATCATGTATATATTCATGTATAAACGATGCTTTAAACTATTTTGTGGAGCGAGGGAATCCAACACACAACAGTAGTCTGTGATTGTCAACTTTTCATCTGCTCTGGCAGAGCCCAGAGTTTTATGTACAACACATGTCAATAGCTCATCCAGGCAAACATTGAAGCTGTAGGTGGTCGGGTATGTTTTCCCTCATGGTGTTTTCTAGTAGTAAAATTTGCTATCTGCACTCTTAGTACGCTTTTTGGTGTAGCTTCAAATAAGAAAAGAATTTTAGTTATATGGTGTAGGGCACTTAAATATTAGTACGACAACTGGTAAGCTAGTAGTATTTTAAATGGAGCTTTTTTAAATAGAATTTTTTTCTCGTTGCCAATTTTTTATTTAGCTTTATCAGTTTCTTTCTCTCACCCATTTCTCAGTAGAGTCTGTTAATTAGCTTAGCACCAAACAATCCTCCGCCACTTGGTGTAGCTGGGTTGCCATGGTGACCAGGTTGTGTTCATCAAGCTAGACAAGCTACCTGCATTTAATTTGTACACATGCTTCACTCTGCTAGGGTGTAGGGAATATTTAGTTCCATTCATTTGATTGACCTTTGTTATTTATAATTTTTGTATTTCTGTAACAAGCTCCACTACACACAGCTGAAGGCAAAACCAGTCCATTAGCTGTGTGTGATGACCACCTACTACATCTCCACTGTCCAGCCACACATTTTTTCTTGTCCTAATCATCCCCTTCATTCTCATGCCAGTCTTCATTAACTACTGTCCTTAGCTACCCAAAGTCCTATGACCAAATCTTGTGATAAACAAACTATTGTATCCTATCTGTTGTCTCAAACATTTCAGAAGTCACAAAACACAACCACTAACACTTTGATTCTTTACGTAGACTTTACAAACTAAGCTTTCAACAACATTATACTTTTATTAACAGATATTGACGCTCATTAGGTGGAACATATGAACAAAACATACAAAAACATTTATACCTTTTAATAAAATAAATACATTCATTAGGTAGGCTACATTTATTATTATACCTTTCAACAAATACTAAAATTAATTAGGTGGAATACATGAACAAAATATTCGCAATCATTAATATATATTAACATTGATGAGGTGGAATACAATGACTGATTAATTTATTACCAATCATTCATTCACATTTGTCTAAAGTTGAGAAGGTAATCTATCACGCAACATAAATGTTACATTAACATCAACAAATCCAGATTTTAATCTACATTTACTTAACTAAAATATACATTTCTTTTTATAGTACTTTTAACACTTTTATATTAATATATGATATTTTAAGTCTAATAATTAAAGAGAAACTATTTGTTAGAAAGACTGAATTTCATTTCTTTACACCAGCGTTCAGAGCTTGGATTGTTTGTGCATGAGTTTTATAGAAATATTTTACAACGTTGCTTCCCCATTGTTTTAACATTTTGTTTTTAATCCATTATGGTGTGATACGTTTCAGTTTAAACCAGTTTTATTAGTTTAAAGCCAGTTTTTTTCCGTGACACCGCTTACACTCTTGGCTTGGGTGGGTTTAGATCCTGTGTACTTCAACTTCGTGAATAATGTCCCATTTTCTATTCGCCATTTTTTTTTACAAAAGAAGGTATTGTTATTAGTGTATGAATGAAAGTTGGTTAATGCCTTTTGTCAGGGTCAGTATTTGAACAGAACACTCCATACATGAATGTACAGCGACTATCTTCACATTTAGTTTATCAATAACAGTCCGGTTTTAATTTATATCGTCTGTCACACATTCTCATTTATGTTTCATTGAATTACTTTCTGAGCAGCATTTTTGCATTTGATTTAGTTGTGCATTGTGATTTTATATTTGTATAGAAATGTAATTAATATTTTTGTTTAATGATTAAAAAAGTAAATGAAAGTTATTCCCCGTTTTTTGTTCATATGTTGTGTAAAGGGAAAGATAACTCCCTTTTGTCGGGAGATGAATCAAATGTTTATTATTATTATTCACATGGTTTTTGCAGTCAAACATTCACCACGTCTGAAAGATCGATGGTGTTATTAGTCTGGTAATAAATTTAAACTGCTTTTAGTTCTGATGTTACAAAAGCAAACGAAGTACTGAATAATGAAAATGCTAAGTATTGCCAAGTGTGTTAAAGGGTCTATAACTGCACACTTCAATATTATCTATTGCCTGTGTTCAACGAACACATTTAGTATTCAAAAATAAAAATTTAATAATTAGCAGTGGTAAATAATTCTAATTTGGCTGTTTCAATTTAAGTACATCATGGTTGATTTTTAAAGCGGTTTTCTGTGAACATGTATCGCAGCATCTAACAGGATACCTTCCCCTTATGAGAGGAACTAGCAAGTGGCTTTGTCTTGTTTAAATTAAGTAGGCTTCATCAAATATATTGGAATCCCCCTCCCCCCTCGAACAAAGTCTACCGCCCCCCCCCCCGAACGAAATGGAATTTATATAGAAAACATACCAGTGTCCGCCCCCCCCCCCCCCCCCAGAAAATATCAAGTGCCCACCCCCGGAGCAGGGGCGGAACTACAGTGCCGCCAGACCCCGCAATGCGGGGGGGCCCAGACCGAATGGGGGCCCAAAAATCCCGGCTAAATTATTTAAAAAAAAAAATTAAAATAAAAAATTTAAAAAAAAAAAAAAAAAAAAAATAGGTGGAGGTCGAGTTATCTTTCTTCTACAGTTACAAAAAAACACGATAGTCGGCAAACGTCTTTGAAAAAAATGTACAGAATATAGCTCGAGAGACCGCCAGACATATAGACAACTTCAAAGACGCAGGGGCGGAACTACAGTGCCGCCAGACACCGCAATGCGGGGGAGGGGGGCAGACCGATTGGGGGCCCAAAAATCCTGGCTAAATTATTTTAAAAAAAAAATGTAAAAAAAAAATTAAAACAAAAAAAAATTATTTTTTTTTTTAAAATTAGGTGGAGGTCGAGTTATCTTTCTTCTACAGTTACAAAAAAACACGATAGTCGGCAAACGTCTTTGAAAAAATGTACAGAATATAGCTCGAGAGACCGCCAGACATATAGACAACTTCAAAGACGCAGGGGCGGAACTACAGTGCCGCCAGACACCGCAATGCGGGGGAGGGGGGCAGACCGATTGGGGGCCCAAAAATCCAGGCTAAATTATTTTTAAAAAAAAATGTAAAAAAAAATTTTAAAAAAAACAAAATTAATTTTTTTTTTTAAAATTAGGTGGAGGTCGAGTTATCTTTCTTCTACAGTTACAAAAAAACACGATAGTCGGCAAACGTCTTTGAAAAAAATGTACAGAATATAGCTCGAGAGACCGCCAGACATATAGACAACTTCAAAGACGTAGCCTACCTTTTTACTTTTAGTGGAGTCGATTAGGAGAACAAAAAAGGATTGTTATATTGTTTACATTATTATTATATATATATATATATATATATATATATATATATGTATATATATATATATATATATATATATATATATATATATATATATATATATATATATATATATGATTGTGTGTTTAAACTACTGGCCTGGACTCTACAAAAAATATAATTATTTATTTCGATGTCATACATTTATAATTGCGTTCATTTTTACTTTAACAACTGTATCAATAAACTTGTGAAAGTTTAAGTTATCTCCCTTTAGCGAAGCATCTGAAGTTTTTGCCGGCACGCTTTGAAATCGGGCTGGGGAAATGTTGCGGCGACTATTCTGGTCTTCTAGACGACCGGAAAAAGTCGGCACTATTGATGTAGATGTTTATCGGCACTTTCTAGTCCCCTTCCCTTGAACCTTCCCAACTCTCACCCCTCCCCCCTCACCCCCCTCTCACCCCTACCCCTCACCTCTACCCCTCACCACACCCTTACTCTTACAATAAGATGTAATGCATAGATTAACGAACCGTCTATGAACTACTGAACTGTAAACTGGCTACTTCTGCACATTTTGTTAAAGACACTAGTCAGTAGTTGTTCATTTACCTGATGAAGTATTTTGTTGACGAGTCTAATTCACACAACAAGGAAGGTAAGGCTCGTCTTTATATTATTAATTGTTTTATAATTAGTACACGTATTAATTGAACATTAGTTATTAACACTAAATACATTAAAGTTAATCAAATTTAGGATACAATGATCTAGCTTTTAAGCCTAAAAACAACCAAAAGATCTATATCACCTTTGAATGTATTAATGTTTAATTTCATGTTTAGCCCGTAACGGGGAGGGGTTATATTCGGTTATAATATGGGTGGGTCTTTGGCAGTGTTTCTTCCAGACTTTTTTCTTCGGGGGGGGGGGGGGGCACTTGAAATTTTCGGAGGGGGGGGGGGGGGGGCGGACACTGTTAAAAGTATATATTTTCTATATAAATTATATAAATTTAATTTCTTTCGGGGGGGGGGGGGGTGCGGACCGCACCGGGTGACACCATTTAGGGGGGTGACACCAAGGCAAAAAATAGCAAAATATATAGAGAAAAACTCGAGGGGGGTGCAAATCGAAAGTTTGAGGGGGGGTGCAAATCGAAAACTTGAGGGGGGGGGGGGTGCAAATCGAAAACTTGAGGGGGGGGGGGGGTGAACATCGAAAATTTGAAAGTTTGTCCCTGGGAAGGGTCTCTATGCCTCTGGGGGGGTGACACCATTAAGTGCCGCACCGGGTGACACCCGACCTCGCTACGCCACTGCACCCGATATATATATATATATATATATATATATATATATATATATATATATATATATATATATATATATATATATATATATATATATATATAGGGGCCTAAAAAAATTTTTTGCGGGGGGGCCATTTTTTTTCTAGTTCCGCCACTGCCCCGGAGCAAACATTCTGGAAGAAACACTGATTGGAATCTGTTTCAACTTGTGACTATAACTTGTCTACCCCTATCCTTCCCATACGAAACGGAAAAAGAAATAATTTATATAGAAAACGTGATTTAACCAGCGCCCTCCCTCCCTTGCCAGGAAAAATGTCTTATAGAAACCCCGCAGAACAGCCTATAGATCTAACTCATGTTAGTCTTCACAGCGTGATGCCGTTCTCCAACAGCAGCTTGTTACTGCAGCCGCTAGCCTATCACCTAGCGGAAAAAAATTATTAACAGCCTCATTTTCAGAAGATGCGCGAACTACCATAAACTCAACCCAAAATGGGAGTGGCCTCCTAAACAAGGGGAACAACTCGCGGCTCGGTGACAGCCCCTAGTGATGGCCCCTGGTCCCTGCATAAAGAAGGATAAAGAACCCCCCAGGAAGACCGTGGTCCCGAGATAAGGGGATCACGGCTACGGCCGGCGACACGCAAATCTCCGGACGGGCACTTGACAAAGTGAGGCGGCGAAATTTGCTTCCAGTAAACTGGGATTAATCGCCGGAGACCGGCACTTGATCGGCACGGTGGCGTGCAGCTGATAACGGTTGCCGGCTCAGTGGGCTCATTGGCCGGTTGGCTTTAAATAATAATTAGCGCTCACGGTTGGAATCAAACAAAAAAAATATTTTTTTTTTATGTTATCTCCGTGTAAGCATGTGCTTACATACAAACATCTGTTGTTCTCTCACACTCTATGCATGTGTGCATACATGCACGCATACATCAATACATGAATACAAACATACAATGGCTTTGCTGCAGTAGCGTAGCGAGGGGGTGGGGGCGGGGGGGGGGACATATGTCCCCGGGCGCCGACCTTAGGGGGCGCCGAAATGGGTTGGAAAGATAAATTGAAAGGTTGAGGGAGGTGCAAATCGAATGTTTGAGGGGGGTGCAAATAGAAATCTCGACGGGGGGGGGGGGGTGCAAATCGAAAGTTTGAGGGGGTGGGGGTGCAAATCGAAAAGTTTGTCCCCGGGCGCCGGGAAGGGTCGCTACGCCTCTGCTTTGCTGATAGGAGTGGGGCGGACAACTAAAGCGGTTCATCATAGGTGGCGCAACCTCCCTTTACGAAGACACTGTCTAGGCCTTATACATACATTAAATTATTAGCTTACTTCGCTACAATAAATAAATAAATTTAACTGCCAAGCTTAATGGCCGGAATAAGCTCATCCTAATGTTAAGTATCTTTCCATTCGTCATATTTAACGATGCAATCAAAGATATTATACTTTAGACATATTTTACAGAGAAAAAAAGTTTTGTTTGAAAAAATTCAGTTGTAATCCTATTAAATATTTTTATGATTAATTTTCTTTGGGTAGTTCTTCAAAATCTATCAAAAGCATGTAAATCTATTACGTAATAATAATAAAGATAATAAATAATAAAGATATTTAAAAAAACTTCTGCTTCCATAGCTAAATATTAGTATGTATGTTTAGTAGGTCCAGACGAATATAATCATACCAACCCAATTCTAATAAAATAGTTGGACAATATGAATATACCCATACTAACCCACTTCTTGTCAAATAGTTGGGCAAGAAACAATGAGTTATACCAATCTACTTCTAAATTAAAAAGCCAGTTAAGCGTTGAGGTAGCTTATATCTTTTTATAAATCTTTATACCTGTTCCCCAACAATACCCTTAACTCGTCTTCCATGATTACGTCACTTTATCGGCAGACGGCAGAAAACCGACGCGAGCAGAGGCGTAAAGACGGTTGATTGTGTGTGGGCAATTGATAGGCTTGTAACCCCACACCCCCATAATCACCACACACCACCATTGACACACCCAGTACCACCATAGTCGCACCCTGCACCAAGCTGGTTCATCGCTAGTTGTCTGGTTACTTGCCTACATATATGGCGCAACAGTCTAAATATAAACACGTCCGATCGGTAAACAAGAGATTAACGCGGTGTTCTCTAGTCAGGTATGGCCTAAAGGATCCTGCTATCCGTCCC